GATACAATTCTTGTCCCAACTGCCTGTCAAATTCTATGAACATGCTCTCATCATGCTTCCAGAGATCTGAATGACTCTCTCTTGATTGCCATCTGTTTTGAGGATGAAATGCAGTGTTGAAATGCAATTTCGTCCTAATGCTTCCTGCAGTTTTACCCCAAAAAACTTCGATGTAACCTTGGATCCACGGTCAGATATAATGGATGATGGACTCCATGGTAGCTCGAACTATCTCTCTAACATAAATTTCTTGCTAAACTTGTCTAGAGCATAGTCCATCCTAACGGGTAGAAGATGTTGCGGACTTAGTTAAATCTGTCTCACAATCACCCATACTGCTATTTCAGCTTCCGCTGCGTCTTGAGGCAAGCCAGTAACAAAACATCTTGATCTGACCATTTCCATGTTTGGCACTGTTATGGATGAAGTAACCCCAGATGGCAGTTGATGGTTCTGCTTTGATTGTTGACTGTTAAACATCTTGTTACAACAATGGTACAATTATCGTTCTTCATAGCCCGGCCACCAATAGCCTTTCTTCAAATCTGATACATCTTGGTTACTACCGGATGCATTGTGTAGGACGTTTATGAGCTTCATGCAAAAATCTTTGTCTAAGCTCGCCCTGTCTGTCGGGAAACAACAACTCTGTCTCATTTAGAATAAGGGATCCACTGTGATCCAATCTGAATTTTCCCACCATATCTTCCTGTACTTGTTTCACCATAGTACTGTTTGTGCATCTTGCTTCTTGTGCTTCTATGCAACTTCCTGAACCCAAGATGGCTGTACTTGCAATCTGTGCTAGAATCACATTTCCCTGCTGGTTGCAACTACCATGCGGAATTCTCATTGCTTTCAAAGCAAAACAATGATTTTTCCGGCCTAGGGCATCAAGCTACCTTACATTAGCTTTTGCCAGGATGGTAATTAATTACATAATCATAATTAGCCAGAGGAAGGCTATCCATTCCGTTGTCTTGAATTCAAGTCTTCTGTGTCGGTAAATACTTTTAAACTCTGATGATCCTGTGTAAATGTAACACTTTCTTCACCGTACAAATAATGCCGCCATACTTTAAATGCCTAGAACAATGGGCTGCCAGTTCAAATCATGGTTGGATTAATTCAATTCATGGGCTTTAAACTGGCTGGAGACATAAAGCTACCAAGCTACCACCTTCCTGTCTTGCATAAGTACACATCCTAACCCAATATGAGAAGCATAACTGTAAATCTCAAAGTCTTTACCTGACACTGGCTGGGTCAACACTGGTGCTTCTGTCAACTTTTTCTTCAAAGTGTCAAAACTCTGCTGACCTCTATCATCCCATTGGAATATAACTGCTTTCTTCAATAATTTTGTTAAAGGTGATGAAATGATAGAGAATCCCTTTACGAACCTTCTGTAATAACTGGCTAAACTCAGAAAACTGCGAACTTCTGTAACATTTCTGGGTGGTCTCCAATTAACAATAGCTTCAATCTTCTTAGGATCCACTCTGATACCCTCCGATGATACTGATACCCTCCGATGACACCACATGTCCTAAGAAAGAAACCTCTTCCAGCCAAAACTCACACTTACTGAGCTTGGCATATAGCTGTTTATCCCTCAGTGTCTGAAGTACAATCCGCAAATGTTTGTCATGTTCAACCCTGTCTCTGGAGTAGACCAAAATGTCATCTATAAACACCACCACAAACTGATCTAGATATGAGTGAAACACACGGTTCATGAGATCCATGAAAACCGCTGGTGCATTTGTAAGACCAAATGGCATTACTAAAAATTCATAGTGACCATATCGGGTCCTGTCCTTGAATTGCAGTCTTAGCCGATATCTTCTTCTTTTAATCCGCACCTGATGGTATCCCGACCTGAGGTCGCGATTTTAGAAAACATACCTGCACCTTTAGTTGTCAAACAAATCATCAATGCGGGCAATGATAACTTATTCTTGATTGTCAGTTTGTTCAGTTGTCTGTAGTCAAATGCACCAATCTGGAATGATCCATCTTTTCTTCTTACAATAATACCCGGTGCTCCCCAAGGTGATACCACTGGGTCTGAATAAGCCTTTGTCTTAAAACTCCTGCCAGCTGAATCTTCAACTCTTTTAACTCTGCTATGTGCCATTCTGGAAGGTGCAATTGATACTTGTGCTGCTCAGGATAGGACATCTATGGTAAACTCCACTTCCCTCCTTGGCGGTAATCCCCTGTAACTCTTCTGGAAATACATCTGGCATAATCAACACACTAGTTGGTATGTCTTGCACTTTTGACTGTTCTGCTCTGGGCATGTAAATTGCACATACCAAGTATGCTCAAACCCTTTTGAATTAATCTCTTTTGCTGCCAATGGCTGATATCACAATTTAACCCAGAAAAGTCTCGCCGCCTCCCGACTACTATTATCTCTTCCCTGCTGTGTAAATAATGTCACCCTTTTTCTTTGCGCCAATCACACTATAGCCTGATGTTTGTATGACCAATCCATACCCAGAATAACATCAAAGTTCTCTAAATCTAAATGGCAACTCCATCAGATCTCCTGGAAACTCTTTTCCATGAATAACAATTGGACATCCTTCAACCACTGTATGGGTTTTTACTACATCGCCTAGTGGATTAGTAACTACCATACCCTGACTCACATATGCAACTTCTAACCCTTTAACCCAAGGTTAGGTACGCTAATGTATGAATGAGATGATCCAGGATCAATTAAAGCAGAAACTGTATGATCACATAAAGAAAACTCACCAACTAGGACATCTGGAGCTTCCTCCTCTTCCCTGGCTCGCATAGCATAAACCCTGGCTGGACCGGACCTCTAGTATCGGTCTTATCCACAGTCTCTGATTGCTGTCTTCTTGCACTCCGGAGGTCTCCCTCGACCTCGGCCTGCATGAACTGTGTAGGAACTCTTGCCCTTTCTAGGAACAGTGCTTTTCTTCTGCATGGTTTGATGCTCCGCATATCCAACATTACCAGTCACCAACCAACACTCCCACCCCATGCGTCTGCCACAATGGCTCACAAGGTGGAAAAAAAGATAACCGACTGTCTCTGCACCTCTACTGGGCCCTCTCCAGTCTCCTCTGCCTGAAACCTCGACTGACACCACCCGCGCGAAACATAAGCCACAACTGATACGCTGGCATGATTAGCCACCCTAGCTGCCACCTTGGAAAGGAAGGTCTAGAAACAGCTGAACTACTAAGCACCTCTGGAATCGTCTTCGTTTTCTGACTGATAGCTACTAGGGCACTCTAGTTTGGTCTCTCCCTCTGCTGAGTCCGCTGGCGTCTGGTACCTTGGACTGGCCTGAATTCGCTCTATCTCCTGAGATGCCTCTACCAAAAGAATGAGAACTCTCTTGAATTCTGGAAGCTACCACTCCCATCTGAACATCTGAATCTCATCGTTCGCCTTCCTGAAACTTTTTACACCTCTCGGCTTCTGTAGCCACTATCCCCTTACCATACCGGCTGAGCCTGGTAAATTCTCTTTCATACTCTGACACTGACAGTCTGTTCTGTCGAAGATATAAGAAGTCCTTTCTTCTGGCATCAAGATAAGCCTCTGTGATAAACTTCTTCTTGAATTCGTCCAAAAAGAATTGCCATGTACGCTGCTCTGTTGATACTCGCTGCTGAACAATAGTCCACCATGTATATGCTTCATCTATCAGCAGTGATGTAGCACAAATCAATTTGTCCTCTGGTGTACACTGTAATTGTTCCAGGACTCTCGATGTCCCATCTAACCAATACTCAGCTATTTCTGGACTATCATCCTTACTGGCATTGAATTCCTTCGCACCATACTTTCTAAGCTTCTCTAGTGGGGGCTTTCTTTCTCTTTCTACTACTATTGGTGCTTGAGGTATCACCCCTGCAATCTGTTCTGTCGAAAAGTATCTGCAAGCTTGCTTTAATAATGCCTCTTGACCTTGGTGCTGCTGGAGCCTCACCCTCCACTCTCCTCGGAAGGCCATGTAGACTCACTCTCCAACCCTCTTTAGTGAATCCTCCTAAAAGAACAACAACTGCTATAGTCAATCGGGTGTCATCGGGCATGTACACTATTACTAACTTATAATGCAAATGCCCGGGGGAAACTGAACTTAGGGGCTCTGAATACCAAAATTTGAAACAATTCGCCTTCTCGGTCCACCCGTAAACCCCGAAATAAACGAGCCGAGACGGCTACAAACTGGTTGACTGAATGAACTGACATGCTGAAATCATTAATGATAATGAATCTATACATGCTGAGATTGCTTATCAGTAATAAAGTACTGAATATTTACAAGACATGATTACTGTTACCAAAATGGATTGGGCCCAACTGTGTGCCTGTACATAGCCATAAAAAGGATTTAACCAAAATGAGTATCTACCCTGAAGACCCGAGGTCTTTTACAGATGAACAGGGCGCCTAGCAGTTGTAAACGGACCCTCTACGGACCAGAAACTAAACGGACCCTCTATGGACTAGTCTCAAAACCTGCGAGTTAAACAGGTAACTCGCTGAGCAAATAAAGCTCAGTGGATATCTCAACATGGAAAGAAACAATAAAGCACATACTTGTATATAAAGAATCATGTAGGCACACAAGGCACAGCACACATATCATGATATCTTTCATTTATCTGTATGATTTATGCAATGTTATGTCCAGATATCTGTATGGCTCCATAAGGTTATAGCGAAATCGAGGTGATAAGAAAACTGTATAAACTGGATGAATACTGTATACTTGGCTGCTATGGCCCATATAATCATATCCACTCAACGGCCTGTAGCCGGAGTAAAGCGCGGAAGTAACAAACTGTATTGAGGCGCCAGATTTCTATCCTATGTCGCGACATGGTCCCTTTATCTACATGGTTTCTACCGAACCTCAATGGAGCATAATGTTGGTATGTCAAAAGTTATAACAATACATATAGTAAATAGTTTCATCACTTCATAAGTATAATTTCATATGATTCACATACCATTTTCCAGCTTGCATGTTGTTTAATCCTATGTTCTAATGTTGTCTTTTTTTGTTTGAAATGATTGGATGCATACAAGCTTTGAGCAAGGAATTCCCAAGTACATAGAAAAAAGGAAAGTCCAAAAATGCAAGGAAAAACCCAAGCCGCGAGCGCGCCTCATTTTGAAGTCGCGAGCGCGAGATGCAGAAAATAAGAGACCAAGTGTGTTTATCAGGCACAAGTCAGCGATCGCGTACTTTGAAGGTCGCGAGCGCGTTTGAAAGTCGCGAGCGCGTAGTGTGCCAATTGAGAGTCAGTGAGTTTTAGGTGAAAGTCGCGAGCGCGCACATGAAGGTCATGGAGGTCGCGATCGCGTAATGTGCAAGTGGAGAGTCAGTGAGTTTCATGCCAACTACGCGAGCGCGCAATGCAAGTCGCGAGCGCTTCCAGGCTAAGGGCCAACTTCACGAGCGCATCTTGCAAGGTCGCGGGCGCGTAATGTGCCAATTGAGAGTCAGAGAGTTTGAAGCACAAGTCGCGAGCGCGCAGTGCAAAGTCGGGAGCACGCGCGACGTGCTTCCCAGCCTACGCAGTGCCAGGTCGTGACGCGTTTCTAGCCTGCGCAGTCTGCACTCTTTTGGTCATATCTCTCAATATACAACTCCAATTTGGGTGATTCAAAAACCCATGCAAAACTAACACATAGAGGAAAATAACTCTTCTATGACACTTCCGAATTCCATCATTAACTGGGGTCAAAATCAAGATGAAGTTACTGGTAAAATTTCCAGCAACCCCTGTTTCAGCATAACTCCATCTTTATTTCACTTATTCAATACCTCCCCTGTTTTCTCATATCATCTCACTAGCAACACACCACACAATTTACATGCAAAGAAACTAGTAAACAACATGAGATATCAAACCACGCGTGAGCTCTGTTCTAACTTCTCTTCTCTACACTCTTTGAACTTCCTTCACCTAGAATAAAAATTCTTATCACTTATCTACGATATAACTCAATTAGAGGTTGAATAGCATAAAGCTTCAAGAAATTCTACTTACTTGGAGAACTAGAGGTTGCCTTAATGCTCTAATTGAATGGAAAAATAAAGGAAATGAAGGAGATGAAGTAGATGAAGATAAAGATGAACGATGGGAAAGTGACTGGAATGATTACGGGTAAGTCATCACAAAATCAAGATAAATGATGGAAACTTATTAAATGAGACCTCAATTGTGAAAAGGCTACAACTTAATACCCAAGCTTAATCTTTGAATGCAAAACCATCCTCTCCCTTATACTTTAATCTTTTTCTCTCAATCAAATAAGTCCACTTCTAACCCCTTTCTACCCCAACCGGGTTTGGTTCAACTCAACTCAACTCGACTCGACTCGACTCTATGCAAAGACTCGACTCAGTAGGATGTCACATTGAAAAAATGGGAGCAGTTGCATACAAGTTGAAACTCCCTTCAACATCCAAGATTCACCTCGTGTTCCATGTTTCTCAACTGAAGAGAGTTGTTGGTGATCATTCTGTTGTTGAGAGTTTACCCGAAGGGTTGGAGGTGCAAGAAGGACCTATGTTGGAAATATGTCAAAGAAGATTTGTGCAAGATGGTGATTTACAGAAAACTCAAGTGCTGATACAATGGCAAGGGTAAAGTGAAGAAGAGGCAACTTGGGTGGATGAGTCTGATTTCTCAGTTCAGTTCCCCCACTTCCGCCTTGAGGACAGGGCTGTTTGTCGAGCAGCATGTAATGATAGAAAGGCTCCTGATCCTAAACCATTCCTGGTATATTCTAGAAGGGGAAAACCTGCTAAGGGCATCAAAGGGAATTCCAAATACAGAATTGGGGACCAAGAAATAGAGGCATGTAAGCAGATTCCTCATGAACAACTTATTTAAAGAATGAAGATGAGAGAGAAAGGCATCCTGGTACAATTCAGTTATTTTGGGCAGAGCAATCGGCATGGGCAAAGGCTTGGGGGCTGATTCAGCCATTTGTTATGCCGGTGCCCACTCAAGTGGGACCCACACACTTTGAAATAAAGAAGCAACAAGTTCAACAAAGGAAGGAAGAAAATAATGAAGGTAGGCGGCGATTTTACTTTCCACATGTGCAATTTGTATTGTACAGCTCATTCTCGCATCTTCTTGTCCTATAAATAGAGGAGAGGATTTATATCTAAACACGGTAGAAAGAAGAAAAAAAAATGTAGAGAGAGTTATCTTTAGGAAGGGTTTCCTAAAACTAGGGAGGGAAAAAATAGTGAGGAAATTATTATAGAGTGTTTTTGGAAAACACTTTGAGTGTCACTATTTTTATATTACTCTCTGTGTACCTACTATTTTAATTTAACTATTTTAATAATGGAAGAATAATGGAAGAATTATTCGGAGTTTGTCCCGTGGATGTAGCCCTAAACAGTTGAGGGTGAACCATGTAAATTTCTGTGTGTCCCATTTCTATTTTTCCGTTGTGTCAATTTTCTCTTAATTGATTGAAAGGGCCAAACAAGTGGTATCAGAGCTGAGGCAAGTGGTACCTGAGGCCTAACACCATTATCTTATCCTTCTTATTAATTTCTATTTCTTCTTCCTTGTAATCACAAAGGACAGCTTCAGTTGATTATTAATACAATTGTTTTTTCCAACTTCATCTCAAATATCTTCTTCTATTTTTCTTGAACTGTATCAACGTTCTTAACTCTAACAAAACCACTCATGATTACGCTAAGGGCCCATCCTAATAAGATTAATGGTATTGTTTTGCAATATCTATATAGAGCATACTGTCTCTATTTTGAGTACATTCATTGTTGGAGGAAGCTAAAGAAATTTGTGTTCATCAGAAATAGATTAATAGATTTCATATTAGTATCAATATCATAATCTGGAGATCAAAATTTCTTATAAATACTAAAAACAAAAGAATCCATAGCATTAATAAATGAGATAAGAAACAAATTCTCAAACTGATGGGAGAATATCAAGCGCAACTTCCTTAAGGGATGGCATAACTTCCTGCTGATGCAAACAAATGTAGGCATTCTTCACTTTCCTAAGGACTTTCCAAGGACCTGGGTAGCACCTAATGTCCAAACAGAAATAGAAATTAAAAATATTGTATTGACTCTTCAGTTAAGCAAAACAGCCATAACTTGTAGGCAATACTAACTAGCAAGGAAGATTGTATATAACCAGCAAACCTGAAAAGAGTTCCCCCATTGAATCCCTTGAAGTTGTGAATATAATAGACAGTTTCCATCATTGGGAATAGAGTCTTGGAAAGAGAAGCCAGCTTAGGATAAAAGAAGGGTGGATAATCTTATTTCCTTCAAGGACAACTTTAGTCAAGGACAACTTTAGTTTGCGAAACATAAGACGCATGACTCATCTCAATATAAATCTCTTTTATAGAAAATAAAATGAAGTAAAATAAAATTTATGACTAGAGTTGTGATTAAAACAAGGCTTTCTATTATGGAGATTAATGAAAGAGCAAAACGGTTGGCTATAAGTGCATTGAAAAGATAAACTAGAATCTAAAATCTAGCAGATTAAAAAAACTAGCATTACAAGGATACAGCCAGATCTTATACGATCAAGTTCTCCATTGAATATGATCAGTTTCCGTGTTGTGTTCACAACAGCTTCTTTGTAAAGCTCTTCCACCACAAGCATTTCTGAGATGCAGATGAATTGGAAAAATGTAGATAAAGTGGAGATCAAGTTCTGAAGATAACAAGTTTGAAGCTACCATTGACATTAAAATAGGGGTTGAGATGCAGATGAATTGGAAAAATGTAGATAAAGTGGAGATCAAGTTCTGAAGATAACAAGTTTGAAGCTACCATTGACATTAAAATAGGGGTTGAGATGCAGATGAATTGGAAAAATGTAGATAAAGTGGAGATCAAGTTCTGAAGATAACAAGTTTGAAGCTACCATTGACATTAAAATAGGGGTTGAGATGCAGATGAATTGGAAAAATGTAGATAAAGTGGAGATCAAGTTCTGAAGATAACAAGTTTGAAGCTACCATTGACATTAAAATAGGGGTTGAGATGCAGATGAATTGGAAAAATGTAGATAAAGTGGAGATCAAGTTCTGAAGATAACAAGTTTGAAGCTACCATTGACATTAAAATAGGGGTTGAGATGCAGATGAATTGGAAAAATGTAGATAAAGTGGAGATCAAGTTCTGAAGATAACAAGTTTGAAGCTACCATTGACATTAAAATAGGGGTTGGACGTGAAGTAAGGTAAGAGATTTTGCCTGAGTTTAACTAATAACAATGGGAAAAACACAGCAACATCCAAGATAGATGAGGATAGAGTACTGGACAAGGAAGTCAGGTAAAATTTTTCATAATAAAACCAGAAAGTAGCTAGACTTGATAGACTTTGACAGCCCCTGTGTAAATGTTTGAACAAACTATGAAATATGATGAATATGTTAACTTATCCACTGCTAACCCACCATAATCCTAACTAAATCACGAAACCACCATAACATGAATTTTCACAAGTGTTTAATCCCCTGAAAAGCATCATCAAATGATAGTTATGAACAATAGTATGACCTTTTTATGAGGCTATATGTACTGTTACTGATACCCTCTAAGGCTACATTTGTCAGACAGCTTCATTCAGATTTAGGGCTAAACAGTCCCATAATTATAAAGCTTCCAAAACTTCTTCGACCCAAAAAACATGGTTTCGGAAGCAGTTCTACATTAATGTATTTTGTTCATTACAATATCACACTACAATGTAAGCCTTTGGAAGGTGCTGGTTACAATTTTGCAGATGTAATGCTTGATTCATTTATGACAGCATGGGTTAAAAATCCATAACAAACCCCCTCTCTTCCAAGAGCACCGTAGTGAATTTGGTAACCAAAAGGAAACCAAATTCTACCACACAAATTAAACAACCCAAATTGTTAAAACAAAAGTACCCTTCTATATTTTTTTTTCCTTGCATGTTCTAAAAACATCATGGTTTTCAACAAGTGAACTCGCACCATAAATGATTATGTAATCAATGAAACAGGAAATAAAACTAATAAGTCTCAAAAATTTTGTCTTATTAGTTTTTATCTTCTTTATGGAAACTTCGTGTTCTCCATGTTTGTATAAATGAAAAAATTAGCGGTGTCCCAAAAGCTACCAATTCTTATGGAATTCAACATTAACTAAACCCAAAATCTATTTATACTAAACAATGTGGTAAAATATACTACTACTCTAGTTCGTTAACTTTCTCTGGAATTACAAATTGGTTCACAAAATTTTTTTTCCCCGAAAGAACTGGCCATACTCTCAGTACATTTCTTATACCCCCTCCCCTATCACTGAATAGAGAATTTAACATGTCAATTTTTCATCTGATTATATCGCATAAAGAAAATCAAATGGAAAAATTAAAAGAAACCTGGCACAGATTCAAGTCCAGCAGTTGGGAATTCATCTCTTGTTATACAAAATTTTTGGGTTAACAGTTTATTAGTGATTCAATATAAGTATCAATAATTATTTTGTTAAATACTTAACCATCAACTGTTTGTTGTTCTCCATAGCAAATTGCTTGCTTTCTTGCCTGTTAGAAGGTATTAAACACTTTCTTTTCAACTGTAATTATTTCTAATTTCTAATAACAACAAACGGAGGTAAAAAATATTCTAATTTCTAATAAAACAAACGGAGTAAAAAATAGAATATATAATGAAAACTTACTTGTCGAAGAAGCTCCTGATAATCATTGGGAAATGGCACATCGACTTCAATAGAGGAAGAGGAACTGCCATTTCTTGAAACAGAGTAAGTTATAAGTTGGGGAATGATTCTTTTAGTATGAAGAAGATGGTGTCGATCATTCTACATATTTAACAAAAAAAATAAAGTGAGAAAGGAATTGATTGTGTTCGGTTCGATTCAATTGGTAATATCTCTTACTCTCAGCTTTGGTTTTGCCAACCATGGGGTTGCCAACGGAGCAGAGGCGCCAAATACGCTGTTGGATAACGGTATATTTTGAACCACAGAGAATAGAGGAAGATGATGGTGCACATTATTGGGCAGCAGTGATGCACGACTCGGGTTCCACGGCTCGAAGGTTAGCCGCCAACTCATACCAATATTTATAATTTGAAATATAAAATATTTAACAATAAAAATCGGAGCAACGCTAAAGGGTTCAAATTGAGAATGATTCAATAAGAATTATTTTTGATTGAGCGTTTAACTAGTTGCACTTTATAACTACAATAAATATGATTTTATTTACTATCATTATTTCTATTGAAAAATGTGTTTCCTTTGCATGTTATACATAAAAATGATTAAACCCATGTCTCTCCTTTAAATAACACACTCACATATCATTTGTACCACTAATCCCTATTTAATTTTATTATGCCTCGAAATAATAATATCTAATATACTTCCGTTTATGGAAGAGATGTGAGATGAAGTTGATTTAAAAAAAAAATTAATATGAATGCGACGAAAATTTTACCTTCTAATTGATAATTAATACAATATTCTACTCCAGTTATCTATATCCTCAATCATAAGATGTCAATAACTTTTTATCATGAGGAATATTAATTATGTGAGGATAACTGCATTAATTGTTTTTTATCTTTTCTCCAATTTTTTTTTCATTTTTCCCCTATATTTTGGCCAACATGGGTTATAACCAACGAAGATGAAAAAAAACAAATAAACTTATTTTTGGTCAACACAGGCCATAACCAAAGAAGATGAAAAAAAAAAAACTACTACTTGCTTAATAATTATAGCTCCCATCAAATAATTCTCTTTTTTTTTTTTAATGTTAGATAGTCATTATTAAATTAGGAGAGAGAATGTCAATTTTTTAAATTTAAAATTTCTCTCTCTACATCAATTAGAATTGTCTTAGATTTCCATCATTAAAGTAGAAAAGAGAGTATATTTCAAATTCAAATTTAATATCTCTCATATAACCAATAAAAAATTATTAAGGGCACTTTAGTTGAGTCAGACTCAACTTGAGCCAAACATCTTTATTGTAAAATCTAGTCATGTACCTGCACACAATGTGCAGATTGTATAATTTTCTATTTTTCTTTATTAAATTGAATGTCATTTTCAAGAAAATTATATAATTCGTATTTATGTTGATTTAATTTAAATAATTTGCTTATATTTTTTATTAAATCATGAAAGGTAAAATTAAATGCTCTTTTAGAAATTCTCAAGTAATTTTTTTATTAAATCATGAAAGGTAAAATTAAATGCTCTTTTAGAAATTCTCAAGTAATGAACTAAAATATTAATTAACACAATTAATTATTGTAAGTAAATTATTGTAATTCAACTGATATATTTAGTTAATTATTTATTTTTTTCTTTGAAAGTCTCATATATTCAAATTAAATGAGGTGTAAAAATATTTAATTTTAATGAAATAAATTTTAATGGAATAAATTTTGATGAGTTGAAATTAGTATTTTAATTATTTGTTAACGTAACTATATTATTTAATTAATTTTTATTAAATATGACTTTATTACAACTTTATTAGTTTTTTTACAGAAAAAACTATTTAATAAAAAATTTAATATAATAATTTATTAAATGCCAAAATATTAATTTATATAAAATCCGCCCGATTTAGATGGGTATAAATTTATCTACTTCTTTATTAATAAAAAATTTAATTTTTATTAAATAAAAAAATCAATTATAATGAAAAAACTAAAATGTTCACATCATCACTTTTTATATTTTCATAACTGCCATATAAGCATTAGGTTTGAGAAATTAATATATTTAGCTGGTTCGTCTTCTCACGCTTCACACGTGAATGTTAGTATAATTAATAATTATTTTTAATATATAATTAAATAATAGTTTCAAGAATCCCAAATAATCAATTTGTACTTGACTAATTGTAATATCCTGAATTTTACCCTGAATTTTTATTTTCAAAAATTTTCCAATTAAATTTAATGAACCGACAGCTTGGAAATTAATATTAATATTTTAGTGCGAATACTGTGATAAACCGAACCGAAAATCGATCGAAAAACTCAAAAACCAAACAAAATGAGACCAAATCACTGAATCGGACCGAACCGGTTCGAATCGAATCGGACCGGCCCATTTCTTTTCTTTTCTGTTTCTTTCTCTTTCTCTTCGTTTATTCCTTCTCCTTCTCCAGTTGCGTCACCTCCCCCTCCTCCTCCCTCTCCTTCGATCTCCGTCCTCCGGCCACGGCAAAATGAACCACTCTAAAAACATCTAACTCAACGCAAGACTCAACGCAAGGAAGAAGATTATAGCTTATATTTGAACTGAAATTGCGTCTATTTTGAAGGGGAAGAGCTTGAAGTTTCGGCCACCGTGGTTACACTTTTTTTCCGGCGATTCACGGCGTTTCAGGCAAGCCTAGCGCGCAAGGTGAGTACCAAATGACTCCTCTCTTCTTCCTCTTTCATTTGATGGCCTCCTCGTCGACTGTAACAGCCGGAATCGGAAAACCCAAAATGGGTTTCACCAAACCTTTCCGGTCAACTTCCGGCCAAATAGTTCATAACCACCTTGATTTGAATACATATTAGTGATCATACTAGTGATCCTCCATCGAAACGAATATTAAATGATATATTGTTTGTTAATTTTGGTGAAGATGACTTTTCGGCCACCGGGCACGCGGCGGTCCGAGGCGACCGGCCGGCGAGGCTCCGGCGAGGACTTCAAAGGCCAGAACCAAGGACTTCAAAGGCAGAATGTTCTCCTCTTTGCGCGGATCACGGAAATCAAATCCGATTTTCGATCGGTACACTCTAAAGCTTAATTTGCAATTTTTGAATAAATCCCAAGATAATTAATTAATGAATTTAATTAAGTAGTTAAATAAATTAAATTTGATATTGTTAAATATATTCCATGAATATTAATTATAACTATAAAATCGGTGTTGAAATATAAATTTCTATCTAATAATAATGTAAGTAAAATTTGGAAATTTTATTAGTAAGTAAATAGTTATAGCATAATTAATTATAATGAGAATTTAATTTGATTAAGAATATGATGACTGGAATTGAATGAAACATGAATGATGGTTTATGGCGGATAGATGAGTTAATGTGAATTGCCCGATGGCATAGCTGTGTGTTGACATATAGGTTATGTAAAAATTTGGATATAGTCAGTTATAGAGAAATGCTGCCCGAAATTTTTATAGAACACTACTTAATGAAGAATTAAATTAGTTATATTCTTAAGAAGTAGTGACGACAAAAATTTGAAGTATTAAGAAATATTATACAATATTAGAATTATCATTATACAATATTTCTCACCGAATAATTAGAGATTTTATCTAAAGGTTATAAATTAGAATAGTTATTTATATAAATGAGAGAACCTAAATATATATGCTATATAACAAGTGAATTAAATGACTGGTAGCCAAAATAAATAAACGAATGTGAAATATAAGTTTTTGAATTAAAATTCTTATTTAGAATTTTCTTGTTTATTTTAAAGGTTTATAAAATACGAGGACAAAAGCTTGGAAGCAATGGTATGGCTAAAGCAGTCCTTTTAAAGGACAATAAAAAATGTGAGTAGTGTTAGATAACTAGTAATCATCCACCGCATCATGCATTCACGGCTAAATGTTAATCATGCATTATTTTGTTGAATTGCCATAATCGTGCTGCTCTATTTGTATTGCTTGATAGCTTGTGAGTGATATTACTGTGCCTTGGTTGTGTGGAATAGGATGAAGTGGTCACATGGGTTTTGTGAGACTGTTTCTGTTTAATTATGGATCCTGTTTATGATTTTGATTCTGTTATATGGATCCTGATTCTGTTTACTGTTAGAAACCGGTAAAATGGGAGATCGGCGCCCCCCGTGTGCACCTACTGTTCGGATCTGTATGATATGGAAAACCACGGGTGTCTCTTTGGGCGCACCCTGGCTAATCTAGATCCTATCGCAGCGCCGCACACCTGATAATTCGCAGCCCGCAGGGTGGCCACCTGTTGTGTGAGCCTGATGATCTAGATTTGATGGAGACGACCGGGTTGCCTCCTGTTGGTATAAAAAAAAAAAGAAGGATTATACTGAAATCACAGGTTGGCTTCTTTATTGGGTGATAATCTAGATTTGATCGCAGCCCGCAGGGTGACCTCCTGTTGTGAGCGCCTGATGATCTAGATTTGATGGAGACGACCGAGTTGCCTCCTGTTGATAAAAAAAAAATAAATAAAAATAAAATAAAAAAAGAGGGAAAGACTGGAAAAATAATGAGAGGACTGGTTGTGTGAGAATTGAACCGGTCGGCCAGAATGGGGGATTGGCTCCCTGGTGCACACGTGAGAGGATGAGCCATGTGGGAGGACGGCTCATCGGGGTTCGATGACTCCACTGACTAATTTCCACGTGATGTGATTGATTATATGAATTGTGATAATACTTGTGGATTGCCTGTTGTATTGCCATTTGTGTGACAAATTGCATGATCATTATAATTAAACGTAATCCGGATTAAAAAATATTTTTAGCATCTGTGTGATTGTGTTGGGGGTGAAGAGGGTTATCTAAACCCTATTCATTGAGTTTGGCGCCTCACCTCTCCTAACTATTTTTTTTTCAGGTAATAGAAAGAAAGGAAAGGCCCTATGAAGTTGAGACACTTATTGTAGGAAGACGTTAATGATAGAAATAACGATGTAAATATAAAAAGGGGTGAGTTCCGCAAATTGTATTCCAGTTGGGTTGTAAAAAATAATAAAAGCCATTATTAAACATATGAACTGTATTTAGGTTGCATATGTATAATAAGTAAATGGGATGAATCCATAATATGAATAGAATGTGTGAGATTTATATAAGTTAGGCTTTACTACGGGCTTCGGGGGCTTTAAGCCCACCCAGGTCCGTCCTAGTGCCGGTCCGGCCCACGGAAATGGGTCGTGACACTAATATACAAAAAAATAAAATTAAAATAATTTTTTTTCCAAATTCTTGCAAAATGATCAATATATTGACTTGTGCAGGTTGCTCTGTTTACTATATATTTATACTTTTATAAATACTAGATGAAGGCCTGCATATTATGCGGGTTG